CTTATACAACTCCCCAGGCTGGATCTGAGCTGTGGGACTCCACAGAACCTGGATCTGGCCCAACTCCAGCAGCAGGGCAAATAGTGGCAGAGCCATGGGGTTTTATGCAGCCATTGTTCATCCCCCCCACTCCATCCACCCCTCCCCCCGCCACCTGCAACACATCAGAAACAGGGTTCCACACCCTGGATTTCAGACATAGACCTAGCCCCTCAAATTCCCAGCCCCTCTTAGAGCCCTGTCAACCAAATGATATGGCTCTGTGGGCTGGATCTGACCTGCACTGACTGATGCCCACCAACTGCAATGACAGTAGATTGAGCCCTTACCAACTATTTTCTTTCTTTCCTTTTTCACTGGGTTTCTACTTTCCTTAAATCTTTTGCAGTTTTTTTCCTCTGATACAAGATGATGAAATTTCAGGTAGAAATCATTTTCCAATTCAAACTCATTGTAATTTCACACTGTTGTCTGACTGTAGATTTCACCACCACAAATAATGGTTGACCATAATGGTAAAAACATTATATAGGGAACTATATGAATAAAGCTAAAAGGATAATTAATTTCTCATGATTGGTTATCAGTGAGTACAGAACATACAATGCTGAGCTGTAACATTGCCTGATGCTGAAAGGACATATTTATAATGCATTGTGTGGGGAAGTAGGTGCATGACCGTTATTAACCCCATAAAGGGCACCAAAAGTTTTTTCTAAAAAAAAATTCATAGAAAGGAAAATGCACTCAGGGAATTTGATTTTAGGGAACACACTTGTGCTCATTCATATTTTAGTATCAAAGAATATTTTCCAAAAGCCATTTCCTATTGATGCTGTTATGTTTGCTTCTCACTTATAATGATCAGCAGGACACTGGGTGGCAAGGTTCAGATTAGAACTGATTTCTTTGATTTTCCTATTATGTTTTCAAAGGTAGGAAAGAATTCCATCTCTTTGAGACTCGCTGGCTGTAGGTAAAGAATTTTTACAGCTCATTGGAGAGCAAATTAGAGCCAGTTATAACCTGACTGACATGCCATGGCAATAAAAAACCAAATACCAGCAGGGAAACAATGCAACCAAGTGCCCTGGACAGCTGCCACACAAGAAAGAGTAGTAACTTCCAGTTGCCACCATGCCACTGGCTGTTTGTTTTTTAACTCCCCCTCCCCACCCCTGCAAGTCAGAGCCCAGAGCAGCTGCCCCAGTCACCGCACCCTAGTTGTGACCCTGCCTAATACAATCCACACTTTTTGCAAGGTAGAGGTTGTGATTCTATACACACATCTGATTTAGAAGGTCTGACGATTCTGATTTGGAAGATCTGATGATCACATGTGTGTGGGGATGAAGTCAGTCAATATTCAAAATAAGACCCAAATTGGCCATCTTATGTCCCACTCTCTTTAAACTAGGGTTGAAATTGTTTTTGTAACAAGATTCTACTGCAGAATCTTACAATAAGAGAATAGAAATGGGTATTTGAATTTCTCTTTGGAAATGCTGAATATTGTTTATAAGAGATAAAGTTTCCATTGCATCAAATTTCTACTTCATGAAGGGCCTATCTCACTTTTAAAATTGTCCTCTGAACCTTATGGGCCAAGTCTTGCATATTTACATGCATGGAATAGTTTCATAGTTTCACAGATTTAGGGTCGGAAGGGACCTAGTAGATCTTCTAGCCCAACCCCCCCCAGGGCGGGAGAACAACAAAACCCCAAAACAAAAACGGGACTCAAATGAGTCCAGCCAGGTAGGCATCCAGCCTCTTCTTAAAGACCCCCAGGGTAGGGGCCAGCACTTCCATAGAAATAAACAAGAGATGCAAGTTGATCCATTGTAGGACTGGTGTCTTTATTCTCTCCAAGCTTATTCATAGATTCATAGATATTAGAGTCTATGTTCCTGGGTAGGAAATAGCGCTGGGATAAATTGAAGTATCCTAATGGTCAGACTCATCATTTTAAAAATAGAGGAAGTAAAATATGGAAGGAAAATTAATAGTGTCACATGTATTCAAATAACAGCAACTTACTTTGCAAACTGCTCATCAGACAAAGAAGGACAATATTCCTGTAAAATTTTTCTGAGGTGATTTCTGCTAATAATATCAGCGTTTTTAGGATCATGGGACTGCAGAGCCTTGTGGAAATCTTTCCAATTTTCTGTGATTTTATCTGACAGGATATGCAAATGTAGGGATGTCAAAAATAAAAAGAGTCTTTCAGGTTACACTGCTTTATAATGGTAATCATGAAGTAAAATGAAAGCACCCTAAAAACAGAAAGTCAACAGTTACTGAAAATGGACCTCATTATTACTTACAAGGTAGTCCCAAGGTAGTACACGAGAAGCTGGCTTCTTAATTTGTTTTGTTTCATTAAGCCATTTATGACCCATGTAATTAAAAAAAAAGTTTTTTGAATTAAAAAGTTTTTAGGATAATGTTTCCAAAATTGTGTACAATATCAGTCAATGTGTACACTCTCCAGTTGTTCTACTCTGTAAAGTGACTATGGAAGAATGGCACCTCTCATGACAGATCAGCCCATTTGTTTGAATTCCAAGTCATATGTGTGGAAGAAATCTAATGACCTCAGTGACAAAAGAAAGTGTTTGCTGATTGTTTCCCCTCCTTTTCCCCTGTAGAGCAAAAGCCATTCAGAGAGTTGAATGTTGTACATCTGTCATAGAAGGCCATATTTGAAGACAGTAGGATAAAACAGGTACAGCTGAGAGTAGACCCGGTCTATAATATGTAGTTCAGGATCAATTTGTGGCACCAGCAGTTACAAAAGCAAATTTTTACTTGCAGCTTGAGTGCATTTAAAACAAGAGCTATTCAGATGTAATAAATATGGAACCTGAATTTTAAAAAGTAATTGGGCTTCACCCTCAAACCTGAGTGAGTTCTGTTCAGTACAAGATCTGAGTGGGGACAAAAGTGATTTTCTGTTGCTTTCACCTATCCCAGTCTGGGAGCTAGGCAGAAGATGGTCTGTCTGTGTAAAGTTCAGCTTTATTGTTAGCATTAATAGCAACTGCCTCAGGGCTTATTTATCATTCCCATGGCTTTAGCAGCCCCTAAGGGATCATTCCAGCATTCAGGAATGAAGCAGCACAGCAGCATTTTGAAAAAAAAATATCCTCCATAGGTTGTACCCCCTGAGAATCTCTCTTTGGCAGGGGTTGGGCCAGTATGGAGTGCTGCAGAACTCTTCCACCAGCTGTGCAGCACTCAGGGAGCCAATGGCCATGGGCAGGCATGCATTTGTTGGATTCCAGAGCTTTACATACACGCAGCCACTGCTCTGTTCTGCCCATTTTCCTGCACAAAGAGCACTTCAAAATAGACATGAAGGCATGCACAGCAATTCTATCCAGCCAGAGGGCTGGAGAGCAGGAATACCCACATGTCTCTTGATCTCCAGTCTCTGGAAATTTCTGAGGACAGCTGAGCACAAAGCACGGTGCTCAATGGCTGTCTGCCCCACTTCTGCCCGCATGGAGGGAGGGGGAAGTAGAGCACTGTGGGATGCTGGAGGACCAATGAAATAAATAGCTGCTTCAAGAAGTGCTTCCAAAAAAAGTGCTTCAATGGTGTTCCTCATTTTTAGCGTCATTTTAAAGTGTTTTGGCCATTTTTAAAGTGATTCTTTGGCTGTGCATGTCTGTATCCTTTGGAGTATTTCAAGGGCACTTGGAGCACTTCTCACAACAGGTCTGTCCATGGTCACTGGATGGATCCTTAAAGACAATGGTGAAGCTTTCTTTCCAGTGGGTTTTCACCAGCAGTTTGGAAGAAAACACCCACGGCAGGGGCCATAATTGGCCTACTCTTCAGTGTTCTTCGAGAGTGAAATGCTAGTTAGCAGGGTAATGCCCTGTTGTCAGAGGATCCCAGCTGAAAGCTCATCCCAGGATGGTCATGTTGAACTGTGTTTCTGTTACCAACACTTCCTCAGGCATTTCACCACTACTTGGGAACTTCTAAAATGAATCCAGACTAATTAATGTGTACATTCTGTTTAATTTTCAGACCTATTTGTATTTAGACTTTGCCATACTTGTGTTCCCCCATCCATCATGTCACTTTTATAACTATAAAAAGTATGTTCCAGACTCTCAGCAAGACCATTATTCAACTCAAGAATAGGTGGAAGGGACCTGAGCTGATGAATCAAATATCTATTGTTGGCGCCATCAGAATGGAATGCAGCCTATTTCAGTTGCTACATCAAAGCTTTTCTCAAAGCAACACATGCCATTCAAGACTGTTCAATAGGAACCTCTTTGTGTGTATCTAGTGCCTATCTTGACATTGCTGGGTTCCTTTGATATTTTACAGGAAGATTAGTTATGCCAGCCTAAGACAAGACCTAAATAAAAATGTATACAGTTGTCAAATTAATGTGATTTTTAAAGAAAATTATAAAGAACTCCGATATTAGAAAGCAGTTATGGAAACTGTTGATTAGACCATTTATTACTACAATTAACAAAAACTTTGACAGTAGTATCTCTGTCAAAAGAAAATGACATGCTGAATAGAAGTTCCAGTCACAGGATACAGCATACAACCTCACTACATGTACAATGAGTGGTTCTAAGGAAAATATTAAAAGATGACTATAAAACACTACAATTTTCAAAGTCATGCCCACGAAAATACACAACCTATGGAAATCACATATCTTATAACCTATGTATTGTTATAAAGAATAATAGATAAAACAATAAAAGGGTCTTCTGCAAAATATCAGGGAAACAGCTGACAGTTGTGAAATGGTATCTGTTCCACAACCACTATACACGTGTAAATTAGATTGTAATAGATTCAAGGAGGCATTTCCAAAAACCTTAGGTAACTGTGAAATTGCTTCCTAGTATATACATCAGAATCAAAAGAATCCAGAAATACAGATTATGTAGGTGTACATTGCTGAAAAGCATATGCAATACAGTAACTTAAATGAAAGCTACAAAAGGTTTTACTTGGAAGTGTCTTGATACTTTGCTACAGTCCTTATAGAAAAGCATAGTCTTAGACGAATATTGATGATCACTCACTAGAGATTCCTTTTCTTCAAACAAGTCTAAAAATTTATGGTAGCTGAGGTGCCCAGTGTGTTCTGGATCAATTAGCTTTATTAGGTCTCGAAACTCCTCATCATTTATTTGAAATAGGAAACAATCTAAAATGCAATGAAGCTCGTTTCTAGTGATTTTTCCATTTCGTCTCTAAAACAAATGTTCACATGTGTATGTGTAAGAAAAGAGCAATCAAATTTACTAAGAGATCATGTCTATTATAAAGCATTGTTCTATATCCAGCAGGTCACCCTAACCCACAGTGATTAAAAATGCTTATTATCCATTACATGTTCTGAATCATGCGGTCTCAGTCTTGTGGTCTCAGTGGCCAAGAAGATATGCTACTAGAATCCTTATCACCAGCAGAGAGACTAAGGCCACAGAGATGGAACTATCCTATTATGTCTAAATGGTACCTCAAGGTCAGGTCTGT